TATCCCCACCTTGGGAAAGAATGGTTTGTAGAAACAAGGCGAGTGGAAGAGAGACAATCCCCCAGTTCCCTACTTGGGATTAGCAGCAGGGAAATGAGAGTGTGACTGAGACTAACTTCTTGAGACCTTCCAGACACACAGAGATGTGTCCTTAAGCCAGTGCTTTAAGGATAAGCCGTGGGATGGAATGGAGGCGCAGTGCTGTGGGTGTGCATTTGTGTGCATGCTTGCGTGTGCACACGAGAAAGGGAACATGGGGGATGGAACGAATTGCATTTCAGAAACCAGGAACAGCCTGTTTGAAGAGTTGAAGGAACTGAAAGGATCAGCAGCGTTTGCGACGTGCCTGCCTGAAGGGAAGGAAGGAGTATCACAGGGACAGGAGACGGTAGCCGTTGCTCATTAGGTCCCTTGAGTCTTGTTGGCTGTGATAAGAAATTTGCTTTTTATCTTGTTTGGTCAAGGAAATTGAAATAGGGGTAGTGTGCTCCAATATATCTTGAAGAGATTGTATTGGATGTTTGTGACGAGCATATTAATACAGTTAAGACTGGAAGAGGAATACTAGAGTACTAGAGTTCTTGGTGCTTGGAACCTCCTAAGCTTCAGAGGCTTAAGTGTTTTTCACATGGTGTTGTCAGGTGAGCATTTAGACTTAGAGAAGCTATTTCAACGAGGAACCTAGTTTTGATTTATAGGTGGCATCTAATTTACAGTTGTAGCCCGGCAAACTACTGAGAGTATCTCGCCCGCACGGCAAAGCCAGGCAAGCTCCTCGTGACGTATTCAGTGTGCCAAAAACAGTAACAACAAGTCTCACAATTTGTTGTGAGATGTTACTGGTGCCCGCTCAAGCAAATTGATGAACAACGGGAGGACAGTGCTACAGTGCTACAGGTATACATCAGGTCAAGTAGAAGTAGTTCCTGTGCTGTCCCATAAGAGCTCCATCACGGATTTTCATTAGAGAAAACGTAGGAAATGCAGACAAAAAGCACCATTGTAGAGGTCAAGGAAAACCAGTAGAATGTGCTGAGGTGAACTCCACGAGGAAGAGTGTTTAGAGAAAGGGGAAGTGGTTAATCATGCCATTTGCTGCTTCAGAAAAAGCGGCCACTAGATTTAGCAACACAAGTCTTTGGGTGTGTGTGTGGTATTGGTGAGGGCCAGACCCAGGGTCTCACATGTGTGAGGCTTTGCTCTCTTGCTGGACTACATCCCAGCCTTAGCACAAACCGTCAGTGACCACAAGAACAGCAGGGCACTGGTGCTGTAGAGAATGAGAGTCATGGCAGCAAGCCAGTGGCGCAGATCTGTGCCTGCCTTTCTTTCTTTCTTTCTTTCTTTCTTTCTTTCTTTCTTTCTTTCTTTTTGGGTCACAACTGGTGATACACGGGTTATTCCTGGCTCTGCAGTCAGGAATTACTCCTGGCAGTGCTCGGGGGACCATATGGGATGCTGGGAATCGAAACCAGGTCGGCTGTGTGCAAGGCAAACGCCCTATCCTCTGTGCTATCACCCCAGCCCCCGATCTGTGCTTTTCAAGCATGAAGATGTACATGAATTACCTACATAACTCATGTAATCAGGGCTCAGTATGTGTTAGAATTAGGCGGTGGACTTGATACAAGGTTATTAGACCCACTTCATGGTTTCTGATTTAGAATGTGCCGGGTGTTCCCTGAGAATTTGCTTTTCTTATAAGTTCCCAGGTGATAAATAAGTAATCTAGGAGGTACTCTGAGTACTAGTAGGAAATTTTCCTTGTGATGGAGAGGTGTCGTGGGAAATTTTGCTGGTTGAAGTGGGAAATAACTGGAGCATAATTACGCTTACAAGAACGATCTAGTTGATGGGGGAGAAACCAGAAGAGGGAGGGATAAAGGAACGAGTCCTTGAAAAGATGAGGGAGGTGCTCTGAAGTTTTCATTGAAATTTTACATTTGGGGCGGGGGGGGGGGGGCGGAGGGGATATCATTTGGCCAAATCTGGCTGTGCTCAGGGATCGCTTACTGTTGGGGCATGGGAACCATATGTTGTCTTGGGGATTGAGCCCAGGTTGACCATGTGCAAGGAAAGCACCTTTTAAATTTTTTTTTTTTTTAATTTGTAAGAAAGCATATGCCCTTGGTTATAGCAAGAGATGACGTAAAGAAGATGGGTTTGCAAGTTCACTCTTTGTTTTTAGGAGGATGCCCAGCAGTGCTTTGGGACTTCTGCTGCAGTGCTTGGTGTTCACTCCTAGTGTCATTTCTAGTGGGGACTCTGTAAGGTGTCTCATGTACAGAGCACATGTTCCACCCCGTTGAGTTGTTGCATCTATCTCTGGAGTTCCCTTTGGGTAGTTTCAATTTTCTCAATAAAGGCAAGAGCACTTAGGGCAAACCAGAGGCTTGAGGAAAGACATGGCGTCAAATGACGAGTTTGGGTAGGAAAGTGAACTTAATAGGAAAAAAGTGACAGCACTGAAAGTCTCATTTGAGGTTAAGGTTAGAAATTGAGATGAAAACCAGTCTCTCTGAGGGTGCATTCTTTTTCCTTGAACCAAAGTTTGTTCTGCGATGCATGTATACGGGGAGCATCAAATAGTTGGGATTCCCCAAAGCTAGACTTAACTCAGGTGAGAGAGAGTTAAGTCTAGAGAGAGGGAGATGCAGGGAATGGTGTGTCCGTTGGCTGTGAAGGGCAGTGAAGTCAGGACAGGGTGAAGCCAGGAACAAGGACGATGAGCTCAACAGTAACTGTTGTCAGGGTATAAGTCAGCGCAAAGTAAACTCACAGGGGCAGGAGGTTTTTGATGGAGAAACCAAGAGCTGGTATTCAGATTTCTGTAGGCAGAGCAGTTTTGGGGTGATGATAGAGACCCTGGGTGTGACCATGAAGATGACTGGATGGGGTGGGACTTCCTGGAGAGGTCAGGAAACTCAGAGACCAGGAGTTGCCTGTGCCCTCCACCTGGATGTTGGATTTGCCAAGAATGATGACAAGTTGGAACTGGAGAGAGACTTGGAGTTGGGAGCGGACTTTTCAGTGAGTGATGGAAAATTCCAGTGCATCACTGCAGCCAAGAAGTAGAAATGGGCATGAGCAGGGGAGGTTGTCGAACAGGAAAGTTACAGTCTGGAAGCGGTAATATTTGAGTGCGGGTACACCAGAAGCGGGAGACTTCCCTCAAAGGCAGGGGAAATACGAGTAGTGTTTGAAGGTAATAGTGATAGCAGTGGAAGAGGTGACTGATTTCCAGGCTCTTATCACGACGGGGAGTTGAGCGGGGACGTAATATAAATGTTTGAGAGAAGCGAGGGGGAGTGGCATAAGTACAGTCCCAGGAGAAAGAGTTTGGTGGCAATCGATCTGAAAGTCCGGGCTCCCCATTAGATACTGAGATAAATGGGAAGATGAGGCACAATAGCATTAGTCCAGTCTCTAAAAATAAAAAAAAAATGCACATCGAGTGTCTTGCTGCAGGTGTCTTACATGATCTAGACACTGCCTTACCTCATTCTTTTCTTCTCTTCCCTTGCTCTGTGCTCCAACATACCGTCTTTCTCCCGCTTCCTCTCCTTTTCTCTTGTTGGCATGCACTCTCCTGATGGCAGCTAGTCAAATAGCTGCTAGCATGAGCTTTGGGTCCAGACCCCCTTCTCCCCCCCATTTCTGCCATCTCTAGCTTTGTAACTGTAGGTTATTTAATCCCTGGTTTTGGTGTCTTTATGTAAATAGGGGGATGGAAACAGTAATTCACTTCATGTGTGAGTTGGGATTAAAAAATTTACTATTATGTTTTGGTTTTGGTTTTGTTATGGATTTTTGGACCACATGTGGCAGTGCTCAACTTACCCCTGGCTCTGTGTCCATGCTTGGGGATCACTCCTGGTGCGGCTCCTCAGACGTTATGGGTTGCTGGGGGTCAAACCTAGGCTGATTGCATGCAAAGCACATGCCTTACCTGTTGTACTACCTCTCTGGCCCAAAGCATTTTTAAAAATTACTGTATGATAGGGCAGTTGTTCGTGTGCAGCAAAGACTCTTACAGTAAGAGTCAATAATAGTTTTTTTCCTCTGCTTGAAGTTCTCTTCCCTGTTTCTTGATTGGTTACTGTTTTCTCCTCATTCCATTGTCTCAGCTTAAAAGTCTGTGCTCTGTGCACTGGTGGAGGGATGGGTGTTTGATCATTGTGTGATTGTAACCGAAATATGAAAGCTTGTAACTATCTCACAGTGATTCAGTAAAATTTAAAAAAAAAGTTATGTCATTGAAAATATTCTTATTGATAAAGAACAGTATTGAATCTTAAAAAAAAAAAAGTCTGTGCTCAGGTAATCTAGGTAAAATCTACTTTACCAAATAAAATAGTGTAATGGGATACAGTGACACAGAGCCACTGGTAAATTTACTTTACCTAACCAGTCACTGTGTGTCATTCTTTATCTTATTACACTATTTTGTTTGGTTATTGCATCATCACTGTTTGATATTATTTTACTAGCCTGTTCTTCCCATTCCTGTAAACAATGTATTGACTTGCTCCCTACTATAACTCAGCTTCTCAAAAATACCAAAAACCGGGGCTGGAGCAATAGCACAGCAGGTAGGGCATTTTCCTTGCACTGAGCTGACCTGGGTTTGATTCCCAACATCCCACATGGTCCCCTGAGCACCACCAGGAGCAATTCCTGAGTGCAGAGCCCAGGAGTAACCCCAGTGCATCGCTGGGTGTGATCCAAAAAGCAAAAAAAAAAAAAAAAGGTACCAAAACCTTTGTGGGTACTTGGATTTTTATGTCAATGTCTTGAAAATAGGGTTGTAAAGAAGACAAAATCAGACATGGGGGATGGATCAAACAAATTAGAACTTGAAACTTTAAAAAATTTTCTAATAATAAAGTAGCCTTAATTTAAATATTTCAAAATGAGTAAATCACTACAGTTAGTAACTTACTAATTTTGAAAGAGTGCTTTTAGTAATGGCTATTTTTCTTTTTTTCTGTTTTTCTTAGTGCTGCATTTGACACCAAAACTGGGTTGCGTGTGGCAGTGAAGAAGCTCTCCAGACCGTTTCAGTCTATTATTCATGCCAAGAGGACCTACAGAGAACTGCGGTTACTTAAACATATGAAACATGAAAATGTAAGTTGTCTTTCAAGGAAGATCAGATTCTTCTCTTTTATAGACTGAAAAAAAAAATGCTCTCACTACTACAAATACACATTAGCATGCATCAGGCTTGGGACCCTGCCTCTGTCAGTCACTGAAGAAAGCCCTGAAATGTAATTGGTACATCTTCCTGGAATTCTCCTTGTACTTGTACTCTAAGATTTTAGTTTAGTTTTATGTAAAAAGCAGTTTCATCTCAGGCACTGTGATTGGTGGTACTGTTATAGGTAGGTCGAGTTTCTTGAAAACAGCATCCCATCACTATATATAGCAGAGTCTGCTTTCCTCCACCTTTGTCTTGGTATCAACCCCCCCCTTCCCTCCTGCCTTCAGAGGCTTTTAGAGGGGTAGCATCTATTGTTGTTTTTTTCCTTTTTGGGTAACACCCAGCGATGCCCAGGGGTTACTCCTGGCTCTGCACTCTGGAATTACTCCTGGGGGTGCTTGGGGGACCATATGGAATTCTGGGGATTGAACTCGGGTAGGCCGAGTGCAAGGCAAATGTCATTCCCACTGTACTGCCCCTAGAGGGGTAGCATTGAGAAGACTTTAAATGAAAAAAGATGTTCCGAAGTATAGTACAAAATTCACCCGAATCTTTAGGTTAGTTTTATCGTAGTGCGGATTGGCCATGCTAGGCAAATGCTCTGTTGCTGAACTACAACCCTTGGCCTAAGACATTTTAATAAAGAGAAATTGTTAGAAAGGAATTTTGTTTTATTAGCCTGGCTTCCTTAAGCCTATATTATCAGAGTTTGGAGACTATTTTTGTTGTCAAGGGTTATTTCAGTGCAAAAAATTTGAGGGAGTGATAGCACAGCGGGTAGAGCGTTTGCCTTGCACGCGGCTGACCCGGGTTTGATTCCCAGCATCCCATATGGTCCCCCAAGGACTGCTAGGCGTAGTTCCTGAGTGCATGAGCCAGGAGTAAACCCTGTGCATCACCGGGTGTGACCCAAAAAGCAAAAAAAAAAAAAAAAATCTGAGGGAGAGTGGCTTACTCTCTAAAAGTCCTATCAAGGATGGATATTATTTTATGTATAATTTCATGCTGTAGTTTTTTTTAACCTTCAAATGCAGATTTTCCAGATTCAAATATTCCTATAAATAAGACAAAAAATATTATTAGATATAGGTTAGGTAGCACTGTAGCACTGTCCTCGCATTGTTCATCGATTTGCTCTAGAGCGCCCAGTAATGTCTCCATTGTGAGACTACTGGTTTTGTTTTTTTGGGGGGCATATTAAGTATGTCACGGGTAGCTTGGCAGGCTATACCGTGAGGGCGGGATACTCTTGGTAGCTTGCCGGGCTCTCCGAAAGGGGTGGAGGAATCGAACCCGGGTTGGCTGTGTGCAAAGCAAAAACGCCCTACCCACTGTGCTATGTCCAGCCCATAAGTTAGGTATAATTTATTATATTTAGGAAACTTATTAAACTTTCCGTGATTAATAAGATAAAAAATGTTTTCTATCAGTTTGAGAATTGAGAACTCTGTCATTCTACAAAGAAAGCATCTTACTTGCTTTATCATCTTTCCAGCTTCAAGAATTTATATATATATATATATTTTTTTTCTTTTTAGGTCACACTCAGTGATGCTCAGGCGTTACTCCTGGCTCTGCATTCAGGAGTTACTCCTGGCAGTGCTTGGGGGACCATATGTGATGCCAGGGTTTGTATCCAGGTCAGCCGTGTGCAAGGCACATGCTCTGCCTGCTGTACTATCATTCCGGCCCCGAGAATTCATATAATTTCTGTACAAAAAGAACTATTCCTAGCAATGGCCGTGGAAATATTTAAAGTCATTTTACCTTGTTGATACTGTGAAGGAAAAAAAATTCAAAATCTATGAATCTATCACTTGGCTCTTCAGACTTTTTTTCTGTTTGAAAACTGAAGCTTTTCAGAGCAGAGGCATTACACAGGCTTAAGGTGCTTGCCTTGCGTGTGGCTGACCCACTTTGATCCCTGGCATTGCTTGTGGATCTCTGAGCTTCACCAGGAGGGATGCTGAGTACAGAGCCAGGAGCAAACCCTGAGCGTAGCTGGGTGTGACCCCAAAATCAAGAAAATTGAAGCTTTTCCCTATAGTAAAAAAAAAAAAACAAACCTACAGTAAATGACACTTTACTTAATATACTTTTGTATCACTAAGTAGAGCTTTATTCTAAATAGTAAACAGAATGTTGGGGCCGGGAGATAGCTCAGAGGCCCTGGAGCAGATGCTGTGCAGCCTGGAGTCCCAGGTTCAGACTTTAACACCTACAGGCCCCTGAGCATGGCAGGAGTGACCGCTGAGCAGTGCTAAAGAATGCTAAGACTTCATTTTGGAGTTGGATTATGGATGCTGTTGTAATCATTTGGCAGTTTTCTTATTCTCCTGTTTCATTTTTATTTGTACCATTGAGAAAACCACTTTTTTCACAGGTTTCTGTTTCTGGGTATAATTTTCCATGACTATCCGTATGATTTCCCCCCAGTGACAGCATATTTATTTGGGAATAATAGTTACAAAATTACTCCTGTGAACCTGACGGGTTTGTTTGTTTGTTTGGTACACGCAGCAGTATTTAGGGTTAACTGCTGGCTTTGTGCTCAGGGATCAGCCTGGAAGGTCTTAGGGGATGAGATGGGGAGTCAGGGGTTGAACCTGGGTCAGCCACTGGCAAGGCAAGTGTCCTACCTCTTATGTATCACTCCAACCCTAGTCCTGAGTTTTTAAAAAGTTTAATACAGAGCAGCATGTTTCCTAACCATTGATGTGTTTATGAGAAGTTGAGATAATATGGAATAGCTGACAGGAAGAACTTGATTCTACGGTTTGTATAAACCGTATAAGATTGACCTGACAGCTTAACTGCTGCATATACACTCACACACACACACACACACACACACACACACACACACACACGTGTACATATTTTAATATGTAATATATATTTTAATACAGTATATGTACTGTTCTTAAATGTCATACAGTATGTACACTGTTATTTATGAATATCATTAATAAACATTAATAAATGTGACAGAGACTGATCGCTCTATAATATTAAAAATACTTTGATATAAAATGCAAGCCAAACGTTTATGGAACCCTGAAACACCTCCATGAGACTTGGGATCCATTGATGTTGCCTCTGCTTATTTAAGAACATGTGGGTTTAGGGCTAGAGCAGTAAGTAGGGTGGATAGGGCGCTTGCCTTGCACGCAGCCGATCTCCATCTCCGTTTGATCTCTGGCACCACCTGATTCTCCAGCCCCACTCGGAGGGATCCCTGAGTGCAGGGCCGGGAGTACGCGTTGAGCACTGCTGCTGTGGCCCAGAAAAACAAAACCAAAAGCAAAGAATAGATGGGTTTTGAAGATGTCATTGTCCTATTTTGTTTTGCTTTTCTTCATTTAAGCCATTGTTTAGGGCAAAAATTATTTGTGTTATCTGAATTTGGCATTGGCTTTTCTAGCACTCGTAAGAAACACCCTTATTTATTTTTTATGCTTTAATTTTCTGTACTGAGATACCTTAAGATGTGTCTTACCTTGAGTTGGGGTTGGTTATTTTTGGTTTGGGGCCATTCTGTATTTATAGAAAGGTGGCCAGTAATGAGACACAATTTAGTTTCGAAAGAGTATAAGACTTCAAAAGGGAAAAGAGGACTCTGGTGCCTTCCAACTAAGTTTTGTTACCATTTAAAAACTTTTTTTCATTTTGATTGTTTTGCGACCTCATTCAGTGGTGCTCTGGAGCTGTTCCTGGCGTTGTGATCAGGAGTAGCCCCTAGTGATCCAAGTTCAAGGGACCATTTATTGGTGCCAGGAATTTGAACCAGGGTACCCTGGCCATGGCAGCCTCATGCAAGACAAGAGTTTGATCTCCCATACTATCTCTCGGCCCCCAACTAAGTGTAATTGAAAAGTTTAAGAGGAATCCCTGTCTTTCAGCCGCTTTTTAATCACAGCTTTTAGGCCACCGTCCAACTTTTAACCAGCCCCCCAGGGTCTTCAAAGACAGCAACTGCAGTATCTTGAAACTCTTAAACATTTCTAAAAAGCATTAATGATACCCAACTCCACAAATAACGATTAAAAATTTAAGTGTTGGTAACAAATTGAATTTCCAAGTGCCAGAATGTGTGATCTTTCACATACACCATGATCGTGCTCAGTTTTTTTTTTTTCTATGAGTGATAAAGGCTGTCATATTTACATTTATCAGATGGTTCTAGGAGCCGGGGGTACCCTCTGTGACTGTGAGAGTTACTCTCTGAACAGAGTTAGCCAGCCTGTACCAGATGAAACTTTTCACTGATCAAAGGTTAACAAGCTTTTGCAGTGAAGAAAGATGAAAGAGTGTACACCCTGGTATGGCAGCAGTATGGTGAGTAAAGCCTTGCGTGTGGCTGACCTGGTTTTATCCCCTGCATTATATCCACAGGAGTAAGCCTGAGCACCGTCGGTTATGGCCCAAAACAAAACAAAAGAAAAAAAGAAAAGAAAAGCAGCCTGCTAGCTTCATCCTTTTGCTGTTTGAACCGATAATACAGATCACACAATAAAGGGTCTGAAGATTTTTAAGTGGTTAAAGGAATCTTTTTGTAAATGTGTTTAGTAGACTAAGTGATCATTTGGGGGGGTTGTATGAAATATATTAAATATTGTTATTTGATTACTGAGATAACGTGTTTTAAGTATGCACGAACTTAATGAAAATGTTATTTCTGTGAGTTTTTGCACCATTGTATGGTAATCACCAGAGATGTTTGCTGATTTTTTTGGTATTATAAACAAGTTCTGTCCCAGAAAACTGATTCCTAAGTTACTTTTAGGTAAGAGTATGTAAAAGTAAAGGAAAAGAAAGGAGAAAGGCTAAAGCATGATTTGAATTAAAAAGAAGTTTTCCTCTAAGAAATGAGAAATGAATGGATTATGGAATATTTCTAAAATGTATTCCAGATCCATTTTAATATTGGGAAACATTTTACAGTGTTTTCCTTACTCTGTAAATACAATTAACAGAGAAGGGCTATTTGTAAAAATTCACATACACAAAATAAAAACATTGTCATGTAATGTGAAGAGTTTTAATCTCATAAAATGTGTTTCTTTAAGGAAATTAATATTTGATAGAGTATTTATGTGATTTTCTCTATTATTTTTTCCAAATTAGTTCATTGTACTTCTTGCAGCTGGGCTTTTTGATTATATGAATAATTTATTTTAGCTTTAGAGCTTATGTTTTGTTACTGGTGGTAGCAATTTTGAATGGTTTGTTTCTCTAATTTGTATTTTGTAATTATTTTCTTTAAGAGTTGTGAGTTTTTTCTAGTGAGCAGCAGTAGGAGCCTGAGCACTGAGCTGGTAGGAGACCCCAAACACCTCTGGGTGTGACCCAAAATCAAAACGCAAAATAAAAAAAGAGTAGAGGTCCTAAGTGAGGAATAAGTCAAACTCAAGGAAGGGTTAGGGGGCTGGAGCCATAGTTCAGCAGGTAGGGCGTTTGTCTTGCACATGGCTGACTCAGGTTGGATCCCTGAGCACCCAGAAGTGATTCCTGAGTGCAGAGCCAGGAGCAAACTTTAGCATTGTCAGATGTGACCTCCAAACCAAAAATAAATAAATCAATAAACAAATAGGAAAATAAAATAATGCCAGTTACTGGTGCCCACTCGAGCAAATCGATGAACAATGGGAGGACAGTGCTACAGTACTACTATTAGACTGTTACTGCTGTTCCTCTATATGTAAGATAAGAATCTTAAATCTTCTGCCTCTTGATGAGTTAATGAATGTATTGGAGTCAAAATTAAAGAGGCTAACATTTATTATTGTTCTTGTTACTATTATTGAGGTAATGGTACACAACCCATGTTTTAGGGACATATTTCACCCATTTTCAAAGTGTGTGTTACCACACCACAACCTCCACCATAGTTGCAACACCTGAGTTGCAAGGACCTCCCCTTCAGCCCTACCTCTCCTCCACACTGCGGTCTGTCAAGCCCTCCCCTTCAGCCCTGCCTCCCCTCCCCTGCTCTGGTAACCACAGACAGCTCCACAGTCAGGGTCCATGGGTTTGTTCTGAAGGGTTTGTTCTTCGATTCACTACTTTGAATTGAACTTTTGGTAAACTTCGGTTTTCCCATTGGTTATCCAGTTTTCCCTATGCCATTTCTTCAAAAGGTGATCTTTACTCCAACTCATCTGTTAAGGTTTTTTTTTTTTTGTTTTTTTTTTTTGGTAAGAAAATAGATTACCATAGATTTGGTGACACCACAGTTTCTTTATCCATCATCTGTTGTTGAGTACTTAGGTTATTTCTGAATTATATGGTTGGTTCCCCTCTCCCCCCATGGGTAGGTGAGAATTTATTTCCTAGTCTTCCAAATATGTGTTGGTGTTAACAGTTTTTACAGTTACAATTTAAAAGATAGATATTAGGGTTTTAAGGATTGTGCAGTCTAAGAAGGATATGAAATTATAACTAATGATAAGAAAAAAGGGAATAGACATGTTTTAAGTAAGTTTTAAGGATGGAAAACTTTCCTGTTGAAGGAAAAAGAATTCTGTCTTTGGGCCCGTGAAATAGTAAGGATACTACAGCACTTTTCCTTGGTTCAATCCCAGGCACCTCACGTGGGCCTCTGAGCACTGCTAGGCAAGGCCCAAAACCAAAGGAAACAGCAATGACAACAAAAAGCCATCTTAAAGACTGATTATTTATAGACGGTCATAAAAGTATAGAAAAAAAGGTAAAAGAAACATGGAAGGGTTTTAAGAAAAGGTTCTTTGGGACTGGAGTGATAGTACGGCGGGTAGAACTCTTGCCTTGCCATATGGCCAGTCTGGGTTCAATCCCTGGCATTTCATATGACCCCCAAGCACTGCCAGGAGTAATTCCTGAGCACAGAACCAGGAGTGACCCTGAGTATTGCTGGGTATGGCCCCCAAACAAAACAAAACAGACAGAATCTCAGGGGTTTCTTTTTTTTTCCTGACATCTGAAAATTGTTTTCAGCACCATCGTTGACGGTAGTGTTAACATCAGTGTTTCAGGCGGTGTTGCCGCACCCCACATGCCACCAGAGTGCCCACATCCTCCCCTCGCTGACTCCTCTGTTAGCGAACTCCCTTCCCTGGGCAGATTCTCGGCGGTCTGTTACCATTGGCCATTGTTGATTCCCTTATGTGTATTTTTATACTCCATATATGGATGAGATCATCTAGTGTTTTTCCCTTTCCCTTTCACTAGCATGATACCCTCTAGTTCCATTTCATCTGGGGTTTCATCTTTTCTCTTAGCTGTGTAGTAGTCCATTGTGTGTATGTATGTTTCACAGTTTCTTCATCTGTTGTTGGGCACTTGGGTTGTTAATAGGTCTTGGCCCTGGTGAATAGTGCTGCAGTGAATACAGGCCTGTCAGTGCCTTTTCAAATTAATGTCTTTGTATTCTTGAGGCAGTTGCCAAGAGGTGGAATCTTTGGGTCAGATGAAAGCACTATTTTTAATTTTTTGAGAAGTCTCCTACTTTTTCCATGGAGACCGAACCAGACCACATTCCTACCAACAGGGGCTGCGGCTTCTTTTTTCACCACTTCCCTCCCAGTGCTGGTGGGTTCCAACTTTTTTTTTTTTTAAACACATGGCCATTCTTACTGGTGTGAGATGGTATCTCAGTGGCTTTTTTTTTCTTTTTGGGTCACACCCAGTGATGCTCAGGGTTTACCTCCAGACTCTGCACTCAGGAATTAACTCCTGGCAATGCTGAGGGGACCATATGGGATGCCGGAGATCGAACTTGGGTCAGCTGCGGGCAGGGCAAATGCACTACCCGCTGTACTATCGCTCTGGCCCCTCTCTTGTTTTGATTTTCATTTCCTGATAATAAGCGATGATCAGCACTACAGATACCAATTGGACATGTTTTCTTTGAGAAGTGTCAGCTCAGCTTCTCTTTCCTTTTTTTTTTTTTGTTTTGGGGCCACACCCAGCAGTGCTCAAGAGTTACTCCTCGATTTGTTTAGGAGTTACTCCTGGCTATGTACTCAGAAATTACTTCTGCAGGCTCAGGGACAATATGTGATGCTGGGAATTGAACCTGGTTTGGCCGTATGCATTTGTGCTTTCTTTCCACTCTCTGTTCCCGTTTTTTGAAGGGGTTGTTTGGTTTTCTGTTATTAAGGTTTATGAATTCTTTATCATTCTTGGATACTAGCCCTTTGTCAGATATTTTCTCCCATTAAGTGTGGTGTCTTTATTCTAGCGACCATTTCTTTTGCAGTACAGAAAGATAGCCCAATTGCTTAATGTTCCTTCTGTTTTCTTAGCCAGTAGCATTGTTATTGAAGATGCCTCTGAAAACAGTGAGAGTTCTGTTGGAGGGGGTGGGTATATTCGGGCCACATCCAGTGGTGCTCAGGGATTGCTCTTGACTCTGTTCTTAGGAGTTACTCCCTGAGGTGCTTAAGGGACCATATTTGGTGCCAGGGATAGAATTGGGGTCAGCTCCACGCAAGGCAAGGGTTAACCCTTGTGTGATGTTTCCAGCCTTAAATGCTTTTTGGAGGGTGAGTCAGAGTTAACTACTACTCTCTCTCTGCACAGGGAGCCTTGTGGTGCTGGGGATTGAACAGGGTCAACTGCATGCAGGACATGCAGGACAAGTGCCTTAACCCCTCAACCACTCTCCAGCCTAGAATGGAGAGTTTGCCTGTCTTTTCCTTGATACATTTTATGGAATATGGTATAATATTGAAGTATTTAATCATTTTGCATTAACTTTTATGTATATTATGAGACAGGGGGCTAGATTTATTTATTTTTATTTATTTTTTTTACATTGTGACTAACCAGTTTTCCTATGAACATTTGTTGAAGTGGCTTTTCTTGTTCTATGTCATGCATCTAGTTCCTCTGTCAAAGATTAATTGTCAGTCTGCTTAAGAGGATCTCTCTGGACTCTCAATTCTATTGTATTGGTGAAAGTTGGCTTTGATGCCAGCGCTATTGTTTTGATTACTGTATCTTTGTAATATAATTTAAATCAGGGAAAGAAAAGTCTCCCATACTCTTTTTTTCTCAGGATTGCTTTGGCTATTGGGGGAAGCTTTTATTCATATGCATTATAGAAGTGGTTGTTCCACGCATGTCGCTAGAGAATGTCGTGGGAATTTTGGTGAGGAATGGTTTGGATTTCTACAAGGACTGTGTTTCCACTTCTGTGTGTGTGTGTGTGTGTGTGTGTGTGTGGGTGTGGGTGTGTGTGGGTGTGTGTGTGGGTGTGTGATAAATCTACCTGTGGATTTGTGATTTCTTATTATACTGAGGAAAGTTTCTTCTGTCCTCGTTCTGATGGGAGTCTTTCTCAGAAATAGATGTTGGAGCTTGTTGAATTTTTTCATCTGTTGGTTTTTGGGCCACATTAGCTGTGCTCCGGGCCTTCTCCTGGCTCTGTGCTTGGGGATTGAACCTGGGTCAGCTTGTGTTCAGGGCAAGTTCTGTACCCGCTATACTTTCTGGCTCTGATCCTAAGATTTTTAATAGTGAAATAGAATATCATGAACAGTGATGTGAACAAGTTATAGAAAGAAAACCAAAGGATGTTGTAGTATCCCTGAATTGACCTGATTCGATTTGGAATTAGTTCCTGTGATTAAGATGTGACAGGTACTATAGTAAGTCCAGCACATGCTCAGTTTGATTTTTATGTTTTCTTGTAGGTAATTGGTCTGTTGGATGTTTTTACACCTGCAAGGTCTCTGGAGGAGTTCAATGATGTGTGAGTATATCTTTTGTATTTGCCTTTCTTAATTAGAGGATGGCACTTAGTAGTCCATTTCTGTTCTGGAACTATTTGGAAAGATGCTTTATTTCTATCTTCCACCTCTCCATGGGATGGGAATAGACTCAAGTATATGGTTGGTATATAGATGCGTATTTTCACCCTTTCTCTTGCGTATTTTTCTCTTGCGTATTTTTCACTCTTGCGTATTTTTCACTCTTGCTCTCCACTTGGAGAGTTTTATAAGAGGTCCATGGACAGAGCACGGGGAGTTCAGAGTATGATCTTTGTTCTCAGATTGTCTGTTCCACATATTCAAGGAGCACTTTAGCATCATTACATTAATCTCCAGAAATGTAACAAGTGGATTCTGGTCCTGTGTAGAATTTCTCTCTCTCCCTTACTTTCCTCCCTTGTGTTTGGGGAAGCTACCAGAACTGCATGTTAATCCTTGAAAAATTGAATTGCTGTACTACAGGTGATGAGCATCCCATGTTGAGAAGGCTGATAAACTGTTACTAATCGTCCTGATGTTGTAACCGTCTCTACTCTCGAGTCCAGGATCCCCTGGAAATCAGAGCCTGAGATTATCAGGAGTCAGAACCTGAGATGCTCAGGAATCCTAAGTGGAGGGCTGGAGAAAATGATGAGAGAAAGTTACTACAAGAGTTTGGCAAAATGGAAATCACTGTAGGCATCTGGGCTGAAAACAGCCAGGATATATTATACAAAGCTATGCAAGATATATCTCTGATGGGTAGAGCATTTGCTTATTGCCGCCGAGCCTTTTTGATATGGGTTGCACCATGGGCCATTAATACCCTTGCATGCCCAGGTTGTATGCAAGGCAGAGTGCTTGCTCATACTTTCTTGTCTTTGTATGAGCTCACTATTGTAGTTTTTCTAGTATCAGTATTATGATTCATCCCTCCCACCCCTAACTTACAGAAAGTAGGAACACCTTCAGTCGTTTATGCATTTTTAACCTGCTGACATTCTGGCTTTTCTAACTGGAAAAGGTGACTGTTGAAAAAGTTTAATAATAATAATAATAACTGCAGGGTTTGGGGAGGTAGCCCAAAGGGGTGAAGCAGAGAACCGCAAATAACTCCACCGCCGTCTTCCCCTAGCCCCTGCCACCCAGTAGCACCTGGTTGTAAGCACTACTGGGGTTAACTCTGGTGGTCTCCAGCCCATCCACATTGTAGGGCCAAGCACTGAGCTGTCAGGCCTGTGCCAGTGGGACAAGTATTACCAGGAGTGGTCCTGTAGCATCCCCGGGGAGGCCCCCCTCCCGTTCCCCACCACCCTCAATAAAAGAATCGGAGATTATTGCTGCCTTCTCTGAAACTCTCCCCCTGGTTGTCCCCAGTGCTCAATTTAGTCGGTTTCTTCCTCCTTCCCCTTGCCCTGAGGTCGACTTCTCCCACATTTTCCAAGCTAAATCTGAATACCTTTTGCTCCTTTCCCAAAGAAAGAGCAGGGGGGTTGTGTTTGAGCTTGCATGTTCTCTCTCAGAAAGAAAAGGAAGTTTGGGGGGTGAAAAATCAGTGCAGTCTGGTAAATGGAACAAAGGAGGCAGAAGGGGAGCAGCACTTCTTTGCCGCTGTTTGCGCATGGTTGGATCATCAATTCTGAAGATGAAAGAGGAGAATCTGGTCCAAGTGCAAGAATCCTGCTCAGATTAACCTTGATCCTGCTAATGAAAGTTTAAGAAACAAGCAAAGGCTAAAATAGACAATAGCTAAGAACAGCTGTGCTTTCTTTAGCCCCGCTTGGCACGAGAACTCGAAGCTTCCAGAAATGCCCTCAGCCGACTCGGGCAGGGACACACGTGTTATAAATGGTGAGCCCTGCTGTAGAGTCTACTTGGAAAAGTGAATATTTTGAATGATTTTTCCCCCCAGGCTGTTTTTACGAACATTTTCAGGTTTACAACAAATTGAGAGGAGATGCAGAAATTTTCCATCTATTGCCCCCCCCCCCCCCAAACACACACACACACACACACACACACACACATAGTTTTCTTCACTGTCAGTATTACTCACCGGAGTAGCACATTTTTACCAGGGATCAAATTATATGGACACATAATCACCCAAAATCCATAGTTAACCTCAGGGTGTACTCTTGTTATTGTATCTTCTGTGGGTCTGGACAAAATGTGTAATTAGATTTCATCATTTAAATATGTTGCAGTGTATTTTTATTGCCCAAGAATGCCCAGAATTTTATTCTGCTTAAATGTGGAAGAAATGGTGAAAGTGTGTTTGTTAACTACCTTGAAAACATCTGTTGAATCAAGATTTTAGGTACAATGAGAGTGGGGTCTAACACATTTAACAACGTGTTGATTTGCTAGCCTGGACAAATGATCTGGTGTTTGTTCTGTTTTTGAGCCATACCCAGGGATGCTCAGGAGTTAATCTTTTTATCTCTGTACTCAGGAATCTCTCCTGACAATGCTTGAGGAACCATATGGGATGCCAGGGATTGAACCCGCGTCGGCCATGTGCAAGGCCAATGCTGTACCCACTGTACTAATGCTCTGGCCCCAGATGACGGTTTTGACTTAATTGGTCTTGATGAGAAAAGACCTAATTTAAAGACAGTGCTTATGTAAAAGGATTGTAAATTTATTCCTTCCGTATGTATTTGAAGGCCCACTGACCACAAGTATACCCACTGAACCGAAATTGCAAATATTAATTTATTTCACAAATACTATTATTGCTAGCAGTAATCTGCTCTTTTTTTTTTTTTTGATGAGGGGAAAGAACATTTTAGTTACCAAAGTACCAGTTGTCTGTATGTTCTTAGATTAAGTCAGATAGAGTCCCTGAAAAGTGGTGACATTGAGGTATTTGATTTCTAAAGTGATTTCAATCCCAGAGAATCTCTGAAAATAGAGGGATGAACCCGGATGTCCCTTTAGGGAACTGCTCTGTTTACTTTCCCTATTATTTTGTATGACTGAAAAAGAAACTAGTGTGTCTTCAGAACTATGGTTATTTCAGTCATCCAGTCATTATACAAGTATAGTGATTTCAGATTTGCATGAGACTAAAAACAGTTTATAATTCGAGGTTTATAATATTTAATACCTGCAGGGTCAGGCAAATAACATAAATAAAACTTAGTATTAGCAACTGAGAGTGGTCGGTTCTGTGATAAAGTATCTGTACTTCCCAAAAGCATTCAGATTCACAATTAAATAAGACAATTTAATTGTCTGCTAAATAAGACAATTTAGCAGAACCCCAGTCTTGCAGCCATATCAAAATCCCAGAAGACTAGAGAGCTTCCAGGTTGAGAGCAGGCTATAGCTTCGAACGTGAATTATATGTGATAATGAACAAAATATTTTCATTTCTGTTCGTGCTTCCAGTTAACTTTTAATTATGTGTGGTGTCAGATGTATTTGTGCATTTACATTTCCGTTAGCACTTTTAGAGGGGAGGGAACCACACCTGGCGGTGCTCAGGACTTGCTCCTGGCTCTGTGCTCAGAGATCACTCCTGGTGGGGCTCGGGGGACCATGTACGGTCTCAAGAATCCAACTCGGATGGGCTGCATTCAAAGCAGGCACCTTAACCCCTCTACGGTCTCTCCGGCCCCCTGATCAGCACTTTTTGCTTGTCACATATTTACATTTTTACTGGATTTTAGATACCACTCAGTAGGCATCCTGCATACAGTGGAGAAAGGGACAACAGGGAGTGAGTTTTGACCGTTAGAAACAACGTAAGGGGTGAGGTTGGAAAATGTAGAGGTACAGGATGAGGATACTAAGCTGGTTTTGGCTGCCGTGGGATATGGTTGTACAGATGGCAGAATTTTACAAAGATGTGTTTGGCATATTGAATACATCACAGGTAGCTTGCCAGATAGATCTAGAAAATAAATTTAGGTGAAATCATTAAATCTACTTTCATGCTTGGTAAAAAAAAAAAATTACAAAGATGTACCTAGATGATTGGAAATCACTTGAATGTTTACAGTGGCTGCTTGTGTGTGTGTGTGTGTGTGGGGGGGGGTCACACCTAGCAGTGCTGCTCCTGACTTGTTGCTCCAAGTTTGCCTGTGGTAGCGCCCAGTGGTGTTCAGGGGCCCGTGTGATGCCTGCAACACGTGAGCTCCAGCCCTTTGCATTCTCTCTGTGGCCCTCCGTTGGCTTCCTGTTAGGGTGCTGTCTCAGGCTGGCACAAATGTGTGGAAGCGTACTAGAGATAATGCTGTAAATACTGAGCATTAGACATCCAAACCGCCTAAAGAGCCAGTTGTCTAGCTCACTGCTAGAGTCAGTAAATTTTGTGCTGTTACAATATTGTCTTCTAAGGTGGTGGTGGTGTGAGGGTGTCTCCCAAGGACTGCTCTGAGCAGTCTGGTGGTCTCTGAGCTCTGGTGGTCCTTGGCCAACCTGGCTGGTGGTTCAAAGCCAGGCCCGAAGATGTGGCAGAGCTAGGGCCCTGCAGTGCTAGGGATTACCTGGACTATTCAGGCAGTGGTCTTCAGGGGCCTCTGGGCTGCCCATGGTAGTGCTTGGCGCTGGGGATCAATCCACAGTTGCCTGGCATTTATTTATGTCCTCAGTCTCAGTGTTGCCTTTTTGTAACTGGGTCCTCTGACAAAACTTCGTAAGCAAGAAAGAGTTTCTTTTCTCAGTGAGAACCATTTCCTCAAATTTAAGAAGAACTGAATTGTCACTGGTCTTGCTTTACTTTTCCCCTTTCTTCCTGGTCCCAGTTTCTTTGTATCTGAGTTCCTTTTTTCTGCTTAGTCCTTGAAGAAGGAAGTAAGTGCAAGCGATTTTTCAATTCTTCTGTCATCTAGCAGATTTCTTTTATTCTTTGAAAACAGGGTTAAGAACATCAGTAATACAGAAAAAGAAGTAGCGGGTAGGGGAGGGGGTCTGGGGCAGTAGTACAGCAGGTAGGGCATTTGCCTTGCACCAACCCAGGTTCGATCCCCGGCATCCCGTATAGGTCCCCCAG